CCTCAAAAATACAACTTGCCTAATAATTCTGCACTCCCTGTATTTGGATCCACTCCAGGAGTGACACTTTTCCATGCTTTTGTTCCCATGTCCCAACTTTTTATCAATGTTTTTCTCCCATTTAGTTGAAAATTAGCATTAAATTCTTGTCCTTGTCCCAATTTTTGTTATGATTTAGTAATGATTTGTACCTAATTTTATTCTGTTTTTCTTAATCATTATTTTAGCAGTCAACCTTTTGGAAAGTGTTTTTTTGTTTGTTTTATCTGGTTCAAAGTGTGATGACAGATGTCAGCCATGTTGCAGATGTTCTTTTTCGAAGTTATTATGATGCTAGGTATTACTAGCTTAGGTTGGCTGAAGCCCATTATTGAAAGAGAAGATGATAAATCTGGATGCATTAAATATATTACATGTTTGAATGGAAAACAAAAATTATGGTCACTTTAAAAACAACATTATTACATTTTGTAAACGTAAGGTGTTGAACATTATCAAACGCACCTTACAAAGATGCACAAAAGTCTTATACTATCTGTAATTTAACACTCATCAGTCTGAAGATGTCCAGTGTAATATAGGTTAATTGTGATGCTGTGGATCTTGCTCACTATGCGATGTATATCTAATGTAATCTGACTGTCTGTGTCTCTGTGTGTTTCAGATCGGTAACTGCAAGAACGTGACCGTTATGTCACTGCGGTCCAATAAACTGGAGTTTCTTCCTGATGAGATCGGACAGATGACCAAACTGCGAGTCCTTAACCTCAGCGACAACAGGTACACCCATGCACACACACATACACACACGCAGAGACCAAGCTCCTTTATGACTCAGTAGTGAATAGATACAATGCACACACGAGCGCAAACTTTTTCAATGGTCGTTTCGGTTCGGTCTACTGTTTCCATGGGAATGGCTGAGTGTGTTGCTATGGTTATATGCTCTGCGGGCTGTACAGTGCGTGGGTGATGAAACATCTCTGGGTTTTTTTCTTTCTCACCTTCCCTCTCTCCCCCCCTCTCTGTGTGTCTCTCTCGATTAGGTTAAAGAATCTACCGTTTACCTTCACTAAGCTGAAGGACCTGGCAGCTCTGTGGCTCTCTGACAATCAGGTATCTCTTTCTCTCTGCCCACGCTCTCCAAGAGAGCACGTAGCTAACAAATGTGTGCTAACAAATGTGCAGCACAAACAAACAACGAAATCGACATTGTAATTAAATTACCACAACTATGATATGGCATGTTTTATAAAATTGTGTTTCTCTGATAGACTTTCAACCTCTTTATCCTTTCCTTAGTTTCTATCACATATCTGAGTTCTCATATTTAACATAAGGTCAACATATGTTCAAGTACCGCCCATGAGCCACCTCTTCTACTCGTGGCTCTGTGTAATGTCAGACAGTACATGTCCCCAACATGGTCATCTCAGAGCACAGAGGCTCATCTCACCTGCTGTTCACGGCTGCTGCTCAGTTTAACCAGTCAGTAAAGAGAGTTGTTTTAAAAAGAATGGGCAAAGGAGCTGAAAGGGCCTGCACCGAGGTTCAAATAAGGATTACTCTTCACTTTGATGATGCAAAGTAACTCTGGCAGAGCTCGAGAGTATAAATATGGAGATGAGTCACTAACAGGTCCTTTTTACTTGCCTGTCACTGGAAGGTTTTTATTGTTAATTATCAATTAGTGTCGCGTTTCATTTCTAATGGCTTTTTATCAAAACGGTGCGGCAAAGATAAATCAATAAAATAGGGAGATTTATTCACAACAGGGTGATAATGATGAAAAATACACATGCTAAATATTTTATGTCAGCTCCTGTTCATTTTCTCACTATTCTCTCCTTTGTTTTGTTTTTTAAAGACACTACAATGAACTGATAATTACTTGATTTTGTGCTTTCAGTGAGAGTTTGCTGCATGTTAACCTTCTCAGTGATAAGACAGATGCTACATAGCAATGAATCATTTTATGGGCCCTCTGAATTTGATTCTCTCTGCGATGAATGCGCTATATACAGCACAGAGAGTCCACAGAGATGATGCAGTTTTAGCTGTCATTCAGAAAAAGCAGCCAAACTGTTCTTCAGCTCTTTGAGACATTTGCATTTTTATTTTTAAGTTCAATCAAAGCCATTAAACGAAATCATGAGTCCCAAGAAGCTCGGAGCGTTATTTACCTGCTGAAGAGGAAAGCAAATTTAAAATTCAAATGCAATTTGTTTAATGGCAGAGCGTTCACACATTTACATTTAATATCACCACTTATGTCGGCATATTCTGCCTCAGTAATGAAACTCATATTCGCTCATGCTGTTTGATGCATTACAAGTGGCAACTCTGACGTCATGGGAATTCGGTCCGCATTAAAGTTTGCGAGGAAGACAGAAAGGTTTACTAGCATTGTATCCGAAAATAGAAAATGTGAACTATAATGTCTTGATGCAGTTTTAATTAGGATGTGTTGTGATATTTGTAATCTGAATGCAATGAAACATTTATTTTCCCTGTTGGGAAAATTGATTCGCAAATCCTTCCCAAGTGATTTGCATTAGCACTCGGCAGGTTTCGTTTGAAGTCGAGCTCTGCTGCAGCTGATTGTGTGAGCGATTTAAATGAGCAGCAGGCAGAAATCTTTGTTTTTAGGAAAAGGGGTAGGTGCAGGTTAAAATGAGACATAATGGAATAGATGTCATCAGTAAAAGTTCCTACAACAATACTCTGTGTGTGTGTGTGTGTGTGTGTGTGTGTGTGTGTGTGTGTGTGTGTGTGTGTGTGTGTGTGTGTGTGTGTGTGTGTGTGTGTGTGTGTGTGTTT